GAGTCTCAATCTCAGTTCCAAGCTGTGTGTGACTCAGAGGTTAATTTACTGCTCCATGCTTCAGCTTTACAATCGATAACATATAATAATGTTCTTGTTTGAGTTCTGTTGCTGTAGTAAAACACCCCATCAAAGGGCAACTTAGGAAGAAAAGGGTTTGTTGTTGTTTTTTTTTTTTTTTTTTTTACTTACAATCCTATAACAGTCCATCATTTGGGGGAAGTCAAGGCAGGAACACAAGCAGCTAGTTAGATCACATCCATAGTAAAGCAAAGAGAATGTGCACACCCTGGCTTGTTGCTGTCAGCTAGCTTTAGACAGTCTAAGGCCAGTCCATGAAATGGTGCCATCCACAGGGGCTGCCTCTTCTTACATCAATTATCAAGAAAACTGCCTACAGACCTGCCCACAAGTCAACCTGATACAGATAATTTCTCACCTGAGACCGTTTTCCCGGGTGGTTCTAAGTTGTGTCAAGTTGACAGTGAAAACTGATCAGCACAAGAGATTAATAATTTTATTGCCAGGTCACCCGAGAATAACAGTAAAGCTTAACCAACAAAAGTATTTGTTATGACACCTCAGAAAGTCTATGATGGTTCAGAGGATTAAGGATTCCAGAGAGGAACACGGCTTTTCTCTTGAGTGGAGAGAAGGGGGAGAGGAAGGGAGAAGAAGGATGAGTGAGGGGGGAAGAAGGAACAGAGGGAATGTAAATATGAGAATATTTCCTAGAAGCACTGGGTCCTCATCTCATTGGTTAGATCTGACTCCCTTATGTATCATTTAAACCAGCTATAATTACTATGGAAATGGAAATACTGTAATTAGGTTCATAATTCAATCGCTAAGCATGGTTGCCAGCTAAACAATTCAGTTTGCTTATAAGATAGAGAAGGTGGAGATGCTGATGGACAGAAAGTGTTCCATTATAGAGTGTCTTGGAAGTATTCAACTTAGTGCTTTGGCCTGAGATTTCTCCGGAGTTCTCTTTTAGGGTACAGCCCTGGTCGGTTTTGCCTCCCTGAGGGACTCTAACAGGTAAAGCTCTCTGTCCAATACAATTATCTAGTGGATAACAAAGTAATTGAGGGAGAAACAAGAGGAAAGGGAAGGAAAGAACAGGCTAGAATAGAAAATTCCAGTAGGATCTGTTAACAAGGATAATTGAGAAGGTCTGGAGCCCTGGAAGCAGAGATTTGTTGCAATCTTTGAAAATGAAGAACAATATGAACATGTGACCAGGGTCTTCTGTGGAGTAACTAGCAAGCCAAAGCCACTACTTAAAGGACTATGGACGGCAGATTCCTGCTGTACTTTAGCAACAGAGGACTGGAGTGAAACAACTTAGTCTTTTAATGAAATTCTTGTGGCAAGTTACTTCTAAGAACAAGACAAGGCTCCCCAAAACAACAGGTTTAGGGGTCTTGATTATGATAGTTATGAGAATATAGCTGGTTAGTTATCCTGTTTATCCATTCATAATGTATGTCTGACTCTATCTATCTATCTATCATCTATCTATCTATCATCTATCTATCTATCTATCTATCTATCTATCTATCTTTCTATCTATCTATCATCTATCTATCTATATCTATCTATCTATCATCTATCATATCTATCTATCTATCTATCTATCATCTATCATCTATCTATCTAATCTATCATCTATCTATCTATCTATCTATTATCTATTTATCTATCTATCATCTATCTACCTACACACCATCTACATGTATGTATATTTTGTGAGGTACTTGAGATTAAACCCAGGGCCCCATGCATGTCAGGCAAGTGCTTTAACACTGAACTACACCCTCAGCCTTTTGGGGGTTATTTTTATCTTGAGACAAGGTCTCCCTAAATGACTCAAGTTGCCCTTAAATTTGCAATCCTCTTGCCTCCACCTCTGTAGTAGCTTGGATTTCAGGTGTCACCATTCTACTTGGTGAGCTAAATATTTTTTAATACATTGAAACATTCAATGGAAAAATTCCTTTCAAGATTTTGGTAGTCTTTTGACTGAATTTATAAACTTTGGCCCATAGAGAGCTTGGGAATGAAGCATACAGAGAATAAAAGCCTTAAAGAAAAGTGATGTTTCTCCTTTCTTTAAAAAAAAGTTACTTGACAAACAGCAAAGCCAGACAGGTGATACCTTCAGTCGAGTTGTTGGCCAGGATAGATAAAGGCTCTTCCAGACAGTAACCCAACATACTAC